CAGGACACAGCCTTGAGGAGCACCGGTACTCACAAGATTAACGTCAGAAAGCGTTGAACTGACCCGAACACGTTGAGGTCGGTTAATTAAGAAGGCCTCTACGCACTTGATTATGTGACTATTTACTTTCATGTTGAATAATTTCCTTATCATCAAATGTGGCTGGATTGTGTTGAAAGCAGAGAAGTCCGCAAAGAGGATTCTTACATAAGATTTTGAATTCTCTGGATGAGTATAGATCTTATGTAACAGTGAAATGGGTGCATCTTCTACCCCGCGCCTGGTCCTGTAAGCAAATTGTAAAGGATCCATTTGGTGTCCAGTATTTTGCTTAATTAAGTTCAAGATAATTCGCTCAAAGCATTTCATGATTATTTGAGTAAGAGCCACTGGGTGGTAGTCATTAATTATTGAAGATTTTGACTTTTTGGGAACGGGGATTATATGCGAGGTGTTCCATATTGTTGGTATATAATGGGCGTCGACAGACATCTGAAACATCACTCTGTATATCCCGCACAAATGTTCTCGTAGTGCAATGCCAGGTATTCCGTCGGGGCTGATTGATTTCCGAATATTATCTTCCTAAACGTTAGTATAACATCAAGGTCGGTGATTACTAAATTATCATCTTCTGGTTGGCTTTGAATGAAGGCATTTCTTGTCTGAGAGAAGTTATGTACATCAAAGAGAACTGATTGAGATCTCTCGCAAATAAGACATCGTTTTGAGTGTTCAGGACTTTACATTTACTGTCGTTGCCAATCATGGTTTTAATTCCATTCCACGCTGCTTTCAAGTTATTACTTTGAAATTCCTTTTCCATTTTCTTTTTGTAATCAAGTTTACATTTTTTAGTCACACGTTTGATATCTCGTTGTATTTCTTTCACTCGAGTTCTGTCTCCTGCGCAGAAAGCACGCTTCTTGTCATTGAGAAGTCCTTTCAATTCAATGCTAATCCAAGGTTTGTTGTTAGGGAAAAGTTGTATTGTTTTTGAAAGATCAATATCATCGATACAAAACCTGATATAATCTGTTACAACGTCGTTCAGCTCATCCAGATCAGTCGATGATTCGCGGAAGTTATCCCACACTGTACAGTCAAAGCAACCTTTCAGTTGATTAATAGATTCTTTTGTACAGATTTTAACCGATTTTACTGTTGGTTTTTGTGATTTGAGAGTTTGTTTATACTGGGGAACGAGATAAACAACGTTATGATCTGACTGACCAAGTGGCGGCTTCACATACGATTTATAGGCTTCTTTTATGTTACCGTAGCACAGATCTAAGGTTTTATTTTTTCGCGTCTCACAAGTGACATATTGGTGATAATGAGGAAGCACTATATTTAACACACAGCCTTTGAAGTCCCCAATAAACAGTTTTGGTGCATCAGGTGAAAGGGCATCGAGCTTACTGATGTGAGCAGACAGTATGTCCGCCGCATTGTTTGAATTTGCCTTCGGATGGATATAGACAGTCGATATAAATATCTGACCAAATTCTCTTGGCAAATGCTTGGGTCTCATCGGTATGGATAAGAGTTCTATATCCTCCGTGCACGCAGTATCTCTTACAACATAATTACTGCACCATCTTTCATTGTTATATATGCACACTCCGCCTCCGACTTTCTTACCAGTAATGCCGCTGTCCCTATCCAATCTGATAGGATCGTTGAAGCCCTGGATCCGTAGCGCATCATTGGGGGATTGTGTTGTTCAGCCACGTTTCAGTGAAACATAGTAAACATGACTCTCGGTATTCATACAAATATTTGACACTTGTTTCAAGTTCCGGTAGTTGTTGCCGCAAGGATCGGACATTGGAAAGCACTATTGTAGGTAGAGGAGGGCGCGTTTTCCTTACTCGTACACGTTGTCTCAAACCCCCCTTTTTACAGAAAAAAAGCGAGGTCAGAAACCATAGGAAGGTCACGAGTTTCGTATAATTCGTATGTTATGAGACCAAGTGTGGTAATTTATTTATTACCCACGTCTTACATGCATTGAATTGACAAAATAGCGTATTTTTGTTATTGTTATGGTTTCATAAGGAGGTTGCGGAAGAATGTTGTTCTGTAGTACACTTTTTGCATGACGTCACACTGTAATGACGTCACTACGCCTTGCTCGTCTGCCCCCTTGGTAACCGACGTCACAATGCATGTCAGTGGTCATCGCCTCGTACAGCCTCCTACATTAAACTACTCCGAAGCACCCCGTTTCTTAGTTTGCAGTTGCTTCACTCGGCTAACATCACTGATGGACACTTTGCGTTTATGTTTTTCGACGAATATAATGTTTACATTCCCACAATGCATATAAGTTGTAGAATGAATGTATTCACGTGAATGTTATGAATGAAAAAGTAGTTCCGTCACAACGTGACCTAATCGGTTATCTAATCAAATCGCTAGAATCTCAGGTCAAGTCGTTACGACACAGGTCAACGCGATACGACACTCGTGTGACGTACGTGGTCATGAGATTAGTATGCAACTACCTATACGTTGACCTCGTCGCTAATAAGAATTAGTACTACCTCGTATAGATCATTGTGGAAACAGTGTGAACCTGTATGAATTAGTACTACCTCGCACAGATCACTGTGGACACAATGTGAACCTGTAGGAATTAGTACTACCTCGCACAGATCATTGTGGAAACAGAGTGAACAAGTAGGAATTAGTACTACCTCATATCCATCACTGTGGACACAATGTGAACCTGTAGGAATTAGTGCTACCTCGCACAGATCATTATGGACACAATGTGAACATGTAGGAATTAATACTTCCTGATACAGATCACTGTAGACACAATGTGAACCTGAAGGAATTAGTTCTACATCGCACAGATCACTGTAGACACAATGTGTGAACCTGTAGGAATTAACACTACCTCATACAGATCACTGTGGAAACAGTTTGAACATGTAGGAATTAGTACTACCTCATACAGATCACTGTGGACACAATGTGAACCTGTAGGAATTAGTACTGCCTCATACACATCACTGTGGACACAATGTGAACCTGTAGGAATTAGTGCTACCTCGCACAGATCATTGTGGAAACAGAGTGAACAAGTAGGAATTAGTACTACCTCATACCCATCACTGTGGACACAATGTGAACCTGTAGGAATTAGTGCTACCTCGCACAGATCATTATGGACACAATGTGAACATGTAGGAATTAATACTTCCTGATACAGATCACTGTAGACACAATGTGAACCTGAAGGAATTAGTTCTACATCGCACAGATCACTGTAGACACAATGTGTGAACCTGTAGGAATTAACACTACCTCATACAGATCACTGTGGAAACAGTTTGAACATGTAGGAATTAGTACTACCTCATACAGATCACTGTGGACACAATGTGAACCTGTAGGAATTAGTACTGCCTCATACACATCACTGTGGACACAATGTGAACCTGTGGGAATTAGTACTACCTCATACACATCACTGTGGACACAATGTGAACCTGTAGGAATTAGTACTACCTCGCACAGATCATTATGGACACAGTGTGAACATGTAGGAATTAATACTTCCTGATACAGATCACTGTAGACACAATGTGAACCTGAAGGAATTAGTTCTATATCGCACAGATCACTGTAGACACAATGTGAACCTGTAAGAATTAGTACTACCTCATACAGATCACTGTGGACACAGTGCGAACCTGTAGGAATTAGTACTGCCTCATACACATCACTGTGGACACAATGTGAACATGTAGGAATTAGTACTACCTCATACACATCACTGTGGACACAATGTGAACCTGTAGAAATTAGTACTACCTCATACACATCACTGTGGACACAATGTGAACCTGTAGGAATTAGTACTACCTCATACACATCACTGTGGACACAATGTGAACCTGTAGGAATTAGTACTACCTCATACACATCACTGTGGACACAATGTGAACCTGTAGGAATTAGTACTACCTCGCACAGATCATTATGGACACAGTGTGAACATGTAGGAATTAATACTTCCTGATACAGATCACTGTAGACACAATGTGAACCTGAAGGAATTAGTTCTACATCGCACTGATCACTGTAGACACAATGTGTGAACCTGTAGGAATTAACACTACCTCATACACATCACTGTGGACACAATGTGAACCTGTAGGAATTAGTACTACCTCGCACAGATCACTATGGACACAGTGTGAACATGTAGGAATTAATACTTCCTGATACAGATCACTGTAGACACAATGTGAACCTGAAGGAATTAGTTCTACATCGCACAGATCACTGTAGACACAATGTGAACCTGTAGGAATTAACACTACCTCATACAGATCACTGTGGACACAGTGTGAAGCTGTAGGAATTAGTACTACCTCATACAGATCACTGTGGACACAGTGTGAACCTGTAGGAATTAGTACTGCCTCATACACATCACTGTGGACACAATGTGAACATGTAGGAATTAGTACTACCTCATACACATCACTGTGGACACAATGTGAACCTGTAGGAATTAGTACTACCTCATACACATCACTGTGGACACAATGTGAACCTGTAGGAATTAGTACTACCTCATACAGATCACTGTGGACACAGTGTGTACCTGTAGGAATTAACACTACCTCATACAGATCACTGTGGACACAGTGTGAACCTGTAGGAATTAACACTACCTTATACAGATCACTGTGGACACAGTGTGAACCTGTAGGAATTAGTACTACCTCATAGAGATCACTGTGGAAACAGTGTGAACCTGTAGGAATAGTACTAATTCGTACAGATCGCTGTGGAAACAATGTGAACATGTAGGAATTAGTACTACCTGAGAGGGATCACTGTGGACACAATGTGAACCTGTAGGAATTCACATAATTCACACCAACGAACCAACAAACGAAGAGAATAGAAAGAACGAACTAACTAACGAACGAACTAACGAACGAACGAACGAAGGAACAGCAGCAAGACCTTACCTTGCGTCTCGGTACGTCCGCTTTCAGTGAATTCCAGGAACAGCAATCTATATTTCCCAGAAATTTACCTGTGCATAGCCCGCGCCCTCCATCTTCTTGTCGATTTATTATCATCGATCCGTGGTTGACACGCCAGGAGCCTATGATGAATCTCTTGGTTGTCTCTGTGTGTGTCATCGCCATACCCACCCTTATATATTCCGTGATGTAACTGAACTAATATGGTTACGTTACATAATGAAGAAAACGTCGTGCCGATGGTTACAGGCCGGGAGAGCCACATTTCCGAAACAGATAGCCTAAATTGATGTGGCTATCCCGGCAATAGTTACGGTTGCGTGAACATGGAATGTGGCTCTCCCGGCTATGCTGTCAAAACATGCTTAGTGATTCAAACACGTTACCGTATCTAACAAAACAAGACATGTTTCCTCATAATTTTATTCAGATAACAACAGGTTTGGTTCTATAACTAGCACAATATAATATACTAATAGGTATATTACATATAATAATAATATCACAAAATAATGATAAATCGTTATCTGCAAAACATAATAACAATGATAATGGTTTAGTTTGTTGCCATGTGTAAAAACAGATAAAATGGCGTAAGGTCACAGAACATTCTATTTCACACACCCTACTGCAAATGAAGGAGGTCGCCCACATGATCCGTATACTCCATGTCACTCAGGTGTTGGTTCAGAAGCTTGGTCTTCAGTGATGCAATACGAGCGTCAATGGTTCTGTATTTCTTTCTTCGTTAAGGTAGTCTCAGGACAGCAACCTCTGTGAGAGACTGCCCACGCTGAAATAGCTTTACTATCTCGTAAATGTTAGGGTGACACTTCTGGACAAGTCTCTGTACCTTATTGTACCATCCTTTAGGTTATTGTTAGATTAATCAGTTAGATTAATTTTAATCTAGGGACACTCTTTTATCGGTATTGCTATGTCATTGAACTGTTCATCTTAAATTCTTTAAATTAGCTACCGGTCTTAGATATAACACCCTGAACTTTATGGTGTATGGAGAACTTGGAAGACAACCTATTCAACCAACCAGTGAAATGAATAATTCATCTAAAGGACAATATTATAAGATTTTTAAAAAATTCACCTTCACTCGACAAAGACTTACTGCTATCTGAAAATTGCATGGGGACACTCTTTTACCGGTTACGGTAATCCATTAATTAATTAATCTATTGGAAATGTGGCTTGTCCGGCTACAGCCATGTAACTGAAATGTGGCCTTCCCGGCAATAGTCATTCTTGAAATGTGGCTTCCCCGGCCAGTCACTGTGTCGTTCTTCTCCCCTTCTTAGCATAACTATACGTTTACCAATCCTCAAGTAACTAAGCATTCGTCTATTTCTTTTCAATGTCTCCTTAACATGAGTGGCTCTTATGCCACCGAACTATTTCACATTCAATATAATTCTAGTTTTGAGTAACTCGGCGCCTCAGAATAATTTGTTTGAGTACAACACTCTTTAACCTATGAATTCATCTTAGAATCATTCCATCTTTAAATCACCTTGAGATTCCCAAACAAAACCATAAATAAAGGAAGATAACATACACTAGATATTTGAAGAACGTCATGTTCTCACGACTGCATCTCATTTAGCTAACATTAAGTTAACTTCTGATAAAATACTGGGTATTTTTCACATTTAGATAATTGCAGTAAGTGTGTGATGATAGGCCACAAAGCTTCATGTCTTCGATGCTTTTGATGGCTCATTTCAAATGACACCACGTGAACCCGTGATTGTCCGGGATAGAATGGGTTTTCAGTAACCCATGGCAACTAACGGCATCGTGTGGTCTTGGTTGACACATGTCATCGTATCTGACTTCGTAGATGGATGCTCACGCTGTTGATCACTGGATTGTCCGGTCCAGACTCGATTATTTACAGACCCTCGCCATATATGAAGCGTGAATATTGCTGAGGGCGGCAATAAACAAAAAAACCAAACAACACATACCACTATTCAGTTGTAAGTTTACATATATTCATTTCGACCTGGAATAGATTTGCAAATAAGCTTATTTTAACATTGCGCCAACATAAAGACATGAACGTGAAATACCAAACACAGACATATATATATATATATATATATATATATATATATATATATATAATATTATATTACAGATTATATATTGAAACATTTGCTAACTTGAGACGTTAATTCAATAATACCAGTTAAATAATAATATAACAAGATTTCAATTAGATAATTAAACACTATGCTCATTAAATAATTCTACCAGATTCTAAGATGACAGACTGAATCATTTCTATCTTTTCTAACTCAGATTGTAATTTATCATATAAAGCTGTCATACACATATGTATAACATATAACAGATGCTGTTTCTAATAACCTAGTAATTGGACACAAGTATCCGCCATTGTGTGACCAATGTGAAATCACACAATGGCGGTTACACAGAATCTGCCCACAGAAAGTGACATGAGATCAATATGATATAGGTTAAGTTTAGCCACGAGGCAGTTCCGAAGCGTGTTCCAGGAAAAGATGAACAAAAGAGAAAATAGAATTCCTGGAAAGATATGTGGGGTGGCGATATGTTACGCCTGGTGTTGATCACAATAAGGCTTTGCCTTCCACTGACTGCAAGAAGAGTAAAATGTTCGAATACCTGAATGCCCCCTTTGAGAATTCCTGGATCCGCCCATGAACTGCCATGGGTCATGCACTCCCAGGTATAAAAAAGGGGACTTGGAGTAATGAACATATTTGTCGTCATTTCATAGTTTATTAAGTCATAGATCGGGAAGGGTATGTCAGGATATTTTGGGCTTTGTACATATTTGCCGTCACTTCTTTTGCTGTGTCACCGAACTGGAATTTTGCTGAATACGGCGATACTAAACAAACACATTTCTTTAGGAAAACATACAAGTTTGTGGATGAGAACCTTTTGTTTACTGCTCTTCAATGAGGACATATTGTGACAGCAACAGTCAACAGTTGACAGTCAACTTGGTACGGGAAGACATTGTACATCCATCCATCCATCCATGTTTGTATGTTTGTAACCGTGTTTGTCACGACCTTGACTCCTGAGAGTTTCCAGGACTTCAGTCCTTCCCCACAACGATGCGCTCGTGACACATGTAGCCTCACCTCAGGCAACTGTGAGTTTGTTCAAACTTGCTCTGTTCACCCAGCAGTGAATGGATAAGACACGTGACTGTTAACCTTCTTGTGGCCTACAGGCAGCTAGGGTAAACCGGGGTATTGTCCATTATTGTACTCTGACAGTTTTACATTGATACCCCACTCACACACAGAATGTTGACTCCGAGCTGACCAGTCCCAGTTTCATCTGATATCGTGAGGGGCGGTGGGGTAGCCTAGTGGTTAAAGCGTTCGCTCGTCATGCCGAAAAAAGGGTTCGATTCCCCACTTGGGTACAACATTTGAAGCTCATTTCTGGTGTCCCCCACCGTGATATTCCTGGAATATTGCTAAAAGCGGTGTAAAACTAAACTCACTCACTCACTCTTATTACGTGCACCAGCCAGGGTTATTTCTTGGTATCCTTCATGTCATATTAAACAATTTCTATAACTATCAAAAGCCTCTGCTAAAAGCAGAATGTTTTGTACGATACCGACTTAGTAAGCATGTGTCTTGAACAGTTGATCGTTGACTAGCCTTTGCACGTGTTTATGACGTGTGCCACCGATGGGGCAGGATACACTCGCCTTTTCGCGAACACCTGGTGTCATCAGTATTTGACAGTGCTCATAAACACATGCTCAGCCATCGTATCTCATGGTGTCAGTCACTGGTTTGTCTGGCCCAGACTCGATTTGTTCACAGACCACATAATACGCTAATACTGCAATACCGTTGAATGCAGTTGCCATCCATAGAGTATTATACCTTTCTTACTGTTGATTTCGAACACATGCTGATAATATAGTCAGATTTGTACAATCGACTCTGCTTTTAGCAGAGATTTCTTACAGATGTGGAAAGAGATTTGTCGTTTCTGTTTGAATATCTCTCAAGTAGTAACGACTCATACAATTTAGGAAAGTTGTTTGTAATAACTTTACTTTTATTTTCATTTAAGATTTTTTTGGTCTAAACTAAAGTAGTAAAAGCAGTATAATTTGGGGAAATTCCCACATGCTGTTTGTTTGATATACATAGTCCTGTTACACGTTGCCTACTGCATCAGTGGTTGCTTGGTGTGCGGGGCGCGGTGGGCGAGCTGGCTAAGGCGCAAGGCTAGTGATCCAGCGGGGTTGAGGTGTCGGGATCGAGCCCACCTGTGACCATGGAGTCAACTTTGTGTGCAGACTCTTTCAGTTTTGTCACAACCCCTAGTGTACAGTACACAACCCTGTGCACTTAAAAGAACCCAGGAATCCGTTGGTATTTGACCACATGAATACGTGCAAACGCCTAGTTGCGGGTACAGCAACGTGCAGTGAACATGGACAAAGTACTGTGACTATGTATCCCAGGCCACCCAGCTGTGAATGGGTACCTCGTTAGGATGAGAAAGCCACAATAACTCGGTGAGCCTAGTGGTAGCAAGAATTGTATACTCCCCAGGGAGTTGAGATTGATAATCCGATGTGCCGTTGAGATTGACATCCAATGATCGAGGGAAAAATACCAGCGCCTTGAGCATGCAATGCGTGGATATGAGCGCTATATAAATATCCTATAATAATAATAATATAAACATATGCCTCTAGCAGGAAATGTCATCGTATCCCAGTTGCGTAGGTCGATGCTCATGATGTTGATCACTGATGTTAATTACTGACCGCCGCCATAGCCTGGAATGTTGTTTGTTTTTTTTGTTTGTTTGTTAAACAACAAAGTCATGGTTTTAGCGAAGGTCTGTGTGTCTGTGGTTGTACTGAGAAATCCCATGGAGAGAATGGATGAAGAATCAGACATTTCTTGCTCCCGCAAGTCCTTGTTACTGTTGCAGAATGGTGTCGTTGTTCAAGCTCCGTGTTGACCATGATGCACACGGATGTCAATCTTCAATTCTAGTTCCGGTAAAAGTTTAGTTCATATGACCTGATGTCGGGTCCTCCATGGTGATATCGCCCCATGTCAGTCTACCATCTTAAAAACACAAAAATTAAGAATTACAACAAGTAAATACATTTGGTCTTGCCGATCCGTCGAACATAAGGATTACTTTGACTATATAAATGGCAATGCCACTGTCATGTTTCAGATGAATATTTG